TCTCTCTGTGTAGCCCTGGCTATCCTGGAACTCACCATGGAGACCATGAGGGTCTCTAACTCACAGAGATCCACCTGCCTCTGCTTCCAGAGTGCTGGGTAGGCATATGCCACCCCACCCAGCTTTGACCTTTGTTTGAAATTGTGGATACACAAGTGTTCGTGTGTGGGCGTGTATGGGCCGGTGCAGTGTTCTCTCTTATCTATTTTATCAGCCTGTACCTCTTGTCTCTGTGAGTAGGAAAATGTGTGTGGCATGACATCCGTGTGGAGGACAACTTGCAGGAACTGGTCCTCTCCTTCCACTCTGTGGGTCCTGAGGATTGAACTCAAGTCGTCAGGCTTTGGGGCAAGCACCTTTGCACCCTGAGCCATCATGCTGGCCCTTGTTAATCTCTTTAGGGTCTGTCGGCTACACTACAAGTTGCAGAATGCCTGAGACAGCTCTGTCCAGCCCCGAGATCCATGCCGGCATGCAAAAGGGTTCAGTGGTTCTCAACCTTCTCAGGACTACAACCCTTACAGTTCCTCATGTTGTGGTGACCCCACCACCACCACCACCACCACCACCAGAAAAAAAAAATTATTTTGTTGCTACTTCATAACAGTAATTTTGCTACTGTTATGAATTGTAATGTAAATTTTTGGAGATAGAGGGTTGCCAAAGGGCTGGTGAACCTACAGGGTGAGAACCACTGGGTGAACGGCTGACCACTTAAAAGGTCTGGCTTTCTCTTTTCCTTCCCTTTCCCTTTCTTCTCTTTTTTTCTTTTTTGTTACTTTTATGTGTTTGCCTTTTCAGATCATTGCTGACCTCAAATTTAAACTCCTTCTATCTTAGCCTCCCATGTGCTGAGATTATAAGTGTGTACCACTGCATCCAGAAAGAATTGACTCCTTAAAGAGGCAGGTATAGGGAAAGGAGGGAGAGAGGGAAGGAAAGAGGGAGGGAGGGAGGGAGGGAGGGAGGGAGGGAGGGAGGGAGGGAGGCAGAGACCCAGACCCAGCCACTCACAGTTGATGGTGAGCTTCAGGGGTTCGCTGCGTGCCTGGCTACCCCAGTTCCACACCTCACATTCATAGGGCCCAGTATCATTTCTCTGAAGGCCGTGGATGGTCAGGGTTCTGTTTTGGGATGACAGTGTCAGGTGCTCACTAGGCCTGAGCGGCTGACCCTTCAGATACCAACGGACATCAACCCCCTGGTGGCTGGTTTTGCAGGTCAGCGTCACAGAGGTGGCGTTCTCCACAAGGGACAAGGTTGGCAGCTCGATATACGGTGCAGTCACATTTTCTGGAAACACAGGGAGATACAGGTTCAGGATCAAGGAAGGATTCCTAAGACTTCTACACTGCCAGGGTGGTGCACGCCTTTAATCCCAGCACTTGGGAGGCAGAGGCAGGCGGATTTCTGAGTTCGAGGCCAGCCTGGTCTACAGAGTGAGCTCCAGGACAACCAGGGCTACACAGAGAAACTCTGTCTTGAAAAACCAAAAAAAAAAAAAAAAAAAAAAAAAGAATGTTATATGTTTTGTGTGGGAGAAAAGTTTGTGGAATTGGGGTGTGTTTATGGGGACTGTTGATTTTATGTCTGCTCTATGTGTTGTGTTGTGTGTGCATTATGACTGAATTGTATGCACGAGATGTACACACACTCTGTTTTACACACACACATACACATCTTGTATCTGAGTATGTGTTTCATATCTGTGATTTTGCATATATTATGGTACATATTGAATGTTCCTTACATGTTTTATGAGAGAATGCTATATGAATGGTATGCATATGTATGCTGCTTGGGCTTATATAGTTTTTGCTATTTGTTTTGTGGTATCAGGGACTTGACCTAGAGACTCCTAAATTCTAAACAAGTGCTTTTCCACTGAGCCATGCCCCCAGCCCCTCACTGGGGGACTGTAAATAGGCATTCTATCAAGTAGCTCAGTGGTATTGTGGAACAGGGCCTCACTAAGTTACACATACTGGCCTTGAACTCACATCTAGCATTGAAGGTTATTTGGGTTGTTTGTTTGTTTGTTTGTTTTAATTTGGGTGGGGAGATGGCTCAGTGGATATGGCTCGGTGTATGTCTTTGATATGCTTGCTCTGTATTTTGTATTGAGTATGTGCGTGTTATATGTATTTGTGTCTTCTATGACTGTCATATGCCTGAGGTTATGTGTTGTATATAAGTTGTAGGTGCCTGTTGTATGTGTGAGGGTGGCCCATGCTTATAGTCAGTCTTCTAATGTATATGGAGTGTGGATTGTGTTAGTTTACCTATAAAGACACACAACTCCTTCCTATCCAAAGAATCAAACCATGGGTACCCACGGAGAGGTAAGAAGGTCTTGAATATGTGCCAAGCTGAAGTTGTGTCCTTCCCTGAGATAAGAGCCGTGCACTGACACCTGTCACGTGAAAATCATCTGACCTCTGGTTCCTCCTCAAATACTGAGGTGGGACTGGAGTTTCAGCTTTTACTAGAGAGTGTGACAATTACCACTGACTGTTTCTTAAGAACACCACCAAGACTCCATACCCACCCAGGTAATCAAAGAGTTCCCCTAAAATCCCAGGCTAAGCCTCCAGTTCCACGTAAAACCTCAGCTTTTGATTCCTTAAAGAAGCAAAAGAGAAATCAGGAGATAACACTCACCAAGCACTTGGACTTTGACAACACCTAGGCGGGACAAGTTGGTTTTAGTGTTGGACACCAGGCACCTGTACATGCCCTCGTGTTCCCTGGACACAGCATGGATGGTGAGTGTTCCTGTGGTGGAGGGCTGGATGGAGTCAGTGGGGGGATACCAGGTATAGGCAGGGACAGGGTAGGACTGTGTTTCCACCCAGAAGTTCACGGTGTGGCCTTCCATCACCTCCACCACATCCCCAGTGGCTACTCCTGAGTCCAGCTTGATTGACACAGGGTCAGGACCATCTGAGAGGGTGGGAACAAGCATGGCAGAGGCCTTAGAATGAGTGGCAGATCACTTATGGGGGATACTGGAGATACTGCTTTCTTCCTGATTTAGTTACAAGGGGGTATGGGTCTGATGGAGGCGGGGTCTGATGGAGGTGGGGTCAGATGGAGGTGGGATCTGATGGAGGTGGGATCTGATGGAGGCGGGGTCTGATGGAGGTGGGGTCTGATGGAGGTGGGATCTGATGGAGGTGGGGTCTGATGGAGGTGGGATCTGACGGAGGTGGGATCTGACGGAGGTGGGATCTGACGGAGGTGGGATCTGATGGAGGTGGGGTCTGATGGAGGTGGGGTCTGATGGAGGTGGGATCTGATGGAGGTGGGATCT